CGTTTTCTGCAAGGATCCAGGTTTGGTTGCAGGGGAGCGTTCCCAGCTTACAGAAGAGAACACAAGATGCATACCATTTCTGTAGTGGCAGTTGTGTTTTTAGTCCAATGTTTTGGGGTACGTGTTGTGGAAGAAGGCATGTTGGTGAGGAACCCCACTTGGAGCATATTTCGGCGTCACTTGCCTGGACAAGTGAAGAAACTTGTGGCAAAGAGAAATATGTCCCAGTCGTGGCTGGTCTTTAGTGTGGGCTCAGCTCTGAGCCCCCTTGGGGCATCGTAGTCTGTAGGTGTCACTTCGGAGATGCGTGCAGATCGCAAGGAGGACCTTTTCAAAACAAATGGGGTTTGCAGTAAACCTGCAAAAGGTCTAGTGACCTTTTGCTCCGTCGGGGGGCAGAGGGAGCAACCCAGTAGTCAACCTTTTGACAAAATAGGGGTACCCTCCGAAATGTCTCGATTTCCCATGGTTTCCTTCGTACCCTCAAAACAAGCCCACGCGGTATCCCCAACAGCCCAGAACATTCCGGACCCCCCTTGGAATCTGAAGGCTGCCCCAAAAACCACCCCAAACCGCCGCCTGTCTCAGCTGAATAAAACGGCACACACCCCATTGGCGCACGGCGCGAAGAAAAACATGAGGACTTCACCCTCCCGGCCGTTCCAGCGCCGCCCATGTCGCCATCCTCACCCTCGTCCCCAGCAGCAGCCGCTTCCCGGAGGGGCAAGTGCAAGGTCGTGGGCACCAGGTGCCGCCATTTGGATGCAACGTATGGTGTGTCTGTGTGTCCAAGTTGTTTTTTTGGGTGTCTTAAAATAGGTGGGATCCCATTGCCAGACTTGGGCGACCTTTTTTATTTGAACCCGGGTTCCTTCATGTTTCTTTTTTCAAGCAGCAAAAAGTTGAGCCTGCTGCTCGCATTTCCTTTGCTGAGCTCTTCCTCTCTTTCCAGATCCTCGCCGGCTGCCCTATCCCTAGGCCTTCTCCTACCTGCCCAGGTAAGTTTATTCCGAAAGGAGTCATTGCCCGCCCTCTAGGAGATGAGATCACGGAGATGAGATCAATGCCTTTTCCACTCTCTTCACACCCTGAGTTCTCTTTTGGGACTCCTTTCCTTCCATGGAATCGTTCCTCTCGTGTCAGCCTTGAAGTTTTTGGACGTGGTCTGAGTGTCCAGCTGGATTCCTGTGAGCAACAAGTCCGAGACACTCTTTGCCAGGTTCGTTCCGCCGTGTTTTCCCTCTCCCGCTGTGTTTTTGTCCCCCTGTACTTGCCACAGCGCTTGGGCTTTTTGCAACTTCCTCATTTTCTCTGGTTAGATGCTCGTCTTAGACCCGTATCTTTACCAAACATAGCAAAACGAACAGTAAACGGCAAACAGTTTGCAGGTATGTGGCAAAATATGGAGACTATATATGTACACGCAGAATACATATATTATACACATGTTGGTAGACTAAATATGCATCAACAGCTGAGGATCTTATTTCGAGCGCCCCTTTTTGTGGGCTAAGAATCAGGGCGACTCCCCCAGAGCTGGTGGTGTTCTAAAGCTGGTGATCCCTTGTCTGCGAGCAACACATCTAGGCGTGGTAAAGCATATGGGCATCAAGATAGGGCACCCCCCTAAGTTGTCATTTGCCTTTTGGCTTCCCTTTAAGCCAAAGCAAAATGGGACCTTGTTTTGACGAGAACCATCTCACAGCGCTTGAATCTTCCTAAAGGAAACCTGGGCGAGCACTTGTTCCGTTTTTGCCTGACCCTTCTATGTAGCACTCAGAACCGCCGACCTCCACCTTTCTGCTAAACAGTTTCCCGGAGATTCCCTGAGGTAGGTGTCCATGGAGTCCGTTGTTGTCAAGGGTAAGGGCAAGTCTAGTTTCTGAATTGCCAAGAATGTTGGACTTCCCCAACAGCAATGAGGGAATGCAACAGTGTCTCATTTTTCTGACCCTCCATGTACTCTCAGTGGGGTCAACATGTAGTTTTCTCTTCTTTTTTTTTGTGTGTGTGTTTGTTTTTTGAGAGTGCCCTTTTCACCTTGGTTTCAAGGGAAGCTAAATTGCGAAGGCACATGTTTGGTCCAAATCTTTGTTTTGCCACATAGCCATATATGTTTGGCTTCCTCTTGGTTTCCCGTCAAAACTACAAGAGGGAGACCCTCAAAAGAAGACAGAAATTCGGATGGCAGTAGGTCAGTACGATCCCATCATCTTCATCCCCCAGTCCCTTATGGACGGCTTGGAGATTGCCAATGAGCTGCGGCAGGTCACGCCGATGCCTCAGTTTGCAGTCAGTGCCAGGTCCCAAGAGAAACACATGGAGGAGGAGGGGAATTCATGCACCGAATCATTCGTGGGGTTTCCCTTGCACACCCCGTGATTTCTACAAGTAAACTTATGCAAACCGGTTGCCCCAAAGAGCCCCTTGAAAAGGTGCTCTTTAGAGTGATGGCCTGTTACCTGTCTCGTGGAAACTTGGGTTTCAGGTTGGTACTTTCGGTGACCAAGAAAACCAGTTTTAGACCAAAACGGGACTTGGGGGTCCTTTTGGTGGAACCCAGTAAAAAGGGGGACCCTTACAAAGTGCAAAACCGATTTTTGCTCTTGTGTTTTTAGTCGACACAACCCCATGTTTGGTGAAGATGGAAGGCCACTCTAATCACCAAACCAATCCAAGCCACCAAATGGCGGGCAACTGATTTTAAACTTCCTCGAGCCGAGGAAGCGTCTGCTGGAGGAGTGCGCGTCTGACAAAGGCAACGGGCGCCCGGAGATCATTCACGGCATTGCTCCCTTCGACCTGGTCTTTGAGTTGGAGGACCTCCTGCTGAAGAAGTCGAAAACGATCCTGCTGGTCGTTGACTGATAGTGTATAAACGTATGATATACGCATATGTATATGTATTTATGTATACGTATATGTATACACACACACACACTATGTTAGGTTTGAGTTTGTATGAATCAAACAACCAGGTAGTTTTTTCTGACAGCTTTCCCCGAACCCGGAACCCGTCCGGCATGCTGCCCAGAATGGTTGGTTTCCCCATGATACAAAGAACAGCCTGCTTGGCTTTCATCAGGCGATATCCCAGTTTAAGAAGTCCTTTACTGTTTGCACCATCCCCTATACATTTCATAGGTTTGACATAATTTCAAGCTCAATTGCCCAAAGCCGACCTTCTTTTGGCTTGCCCCTTTTGCTCCACGCTTAGTAAAGGTCCCAAAAGGTGAACCTTCTATTCTGGGTCCTTTGGGCAAGCGAGGACATAAAGTAATTTCTTCTTGCGCCAGATGGTAGAGTTTCGGCCTTGTGTTGTGGATTAGGTTAGGGATCCTTTTCATGCTCGACGATCTGGAATGTATGAAGCACCATGTCAAAGAGAATCAACCTGAACCGACCTTGCTGTGCCCATGTGGGCGTGTCTTGAAGTAGGGGACTTCCCAAAAACATGGATAATCCTTTGGTTTCCTTTTGAAGACAACCAAAGGGGCACCTACAAAATACACACCCACGTTAAAGACGCAGAACTGGAATCACAAGGCTTTGAGCATTAGAAGTACGTGGGTTTCAAATTCGTGGGGATTATTAGGGTGGTGTTTCACAGGAAACAAGGGGTGGCCACTTTAAGCAAATGAACCAGTGCGGGTGAGTGTCAAGGACCAGGTTCAGGACTACGGATTTGGATGAGGGATCCCCCCAATTTTGAACAACCTAGTTTAAGCTGTTATTCAACCTTGGTTCTGCTGGCTTGGATTTGTGTGGATTGAGCCCTTGCTTCTTGTAGAAGATGGATGGGGGTGGGAATCCACCCCCAAGCCTCCCCCCAACAACCATTGATTTTGGAAGACTAGCTTCCCTTTTATTCCAGTGTTTGTTTTTCGAAATCATGCTTGTTGCATTTTTCTCTTTTGGTTTTAAAGGGAGTCTATCACAACTACCCGAAGTATTGTTTTCTTTTTTTTCCGACGATAAAGCAAATGGAGGTTTTGGAAAGGCATCTCTCGCATAAATTTCTGCGGGTAACTTCTCCAATCACCCAAAATTTAGGCAGGGGTTCCCATGTTTTTCTTTTTGGTTGCTTTCAACATCACGTGTTTGGAATGGATAAGGTGAGTTTCACTTGCTAAATTGGATAAGGTGAGAACATCGGGAACCCCTGGATTCTCAAGGGTATTTTCAGGAAAGTGTTTAGGCATGGATTCTTGTATACCACCGATGTATATACCCATCATATGTGTCTTTTTCATTTTCTGGCATGGTTTTTTCGGGAATCCAAAAGGACAACCACATTTTTAAGGGGGATCCCCTCAAAAACGACACCCCCAAGTGGAAAGTATGTTCCATACCTCAAAACTCCATACCTGGAAATGCCCAGAGATTCGGGGCTTGGGAAGCTTGCGTTGCGAGGAGCCTGTGCCCAACGGCAGTCCGGTCTTCTCCCAGCCTGCGCCTTTTGGCGGAAAGCGCTTAGCAACGAGCGAATGAGACTTGCTGGTGCTCAGCAGGGAATGAGAAATGGAATGAGCCTTATAAACCATCCAACAGATGGTTACTTCAAGGGAATCCCCGTCTGGTTCATTCCCACATTCCCTACCGGGCACTAGCAAGGAGAGCAGGCCACTCACTGCCTGAATACCAACTGGAGTCAGTTCAGACGCTTGGCCAATCCACGGAAGAGGTTGGCCAACCCGTTTCAGGCACGTGCCATACAAACTGCGAACCATTTAGATTGCCATTTATAGGCGGCCGGGGCACGTTTGTTTGAACACATGTCGCATATACACTACGCATATCGCAAGCCCGAGCGGGTGATGAAGCGACCCGTTGCCCGGCTCCTTTTGTGGGGGCCGGTGTAGGTTGATCTTCTTTGGATATATGATATGGCTACGGGTCAGAGTTAAACCAGCAGACCGCAGGTTTTTGGTTCCATTTACCAGGGCTCTATTTTAGGTACCCATTTTTGACCCACAGCCATATACCTATACCCCACGAACAGGCACCCACTTTCGGATTCGGTTGGTCTAAAAGTCCATCCTCACCACTTGCCCCTTTTTTGCAAGCCGTAGCTCCAGCACGGGCCAGCTTGAACATCTAAGAGCAATCAGGGTTGCTGGGAAGGTTCTCAGATGTTTCCTTTAGGGCTCTTCAAGGGGATTTTCTCCCTTGGATGTTCAAGCCACTTAGCTCATACTTGTTCTGAGGGTACCCTTTTGGGGTGGCTTTAACGGGAAATCAAAAGGACGCCAACCATTTTGTGGGCTCCCTAAAAAAGACACCCAAACAAGGCACCCATACCCATGGTCATAGCTGGGAAAACTGACCACGGCCAATCTAGTTTCCTTGGTGGTGTTTCCCAGTAGTGTTAGTACCCAACATTTGTATTTGAAAATGTGGGGGCCTGGATTTTTGACTTCAAACCTCTGCGACCGCCTCAAAAGCTTGCGCAGGAAGGGAGGTTTGGTCGGCAAGTTCAAGATCCGCGAGGAGGGTCGTTGGAGTGGGCAACCGTTGTGCCACCAGTACATACCAATACCAATGCCTGCACCAGTTGGTGAGTCTGTGGTCGTCAAGTGGACCAGACAGAGAGCCCCAGGCCGGTGGAAGGCTGGATGTTGCCTCACAATGACCAAACCTTAAACCTCCAGTGGATTGCCAGCCCTTTTCCCCCTTTCGGAGGGGCCGCCCTTGAAAATCAACGAACACAGCAAAAGAGGGCCACGGGTTTGGTGTTATTTTCACTGTTTTTGGAGGCTTCAAAGTCAGAAACTGGGATGCCCCTTAAGCTACCACTTAGGCGGTAGCTCAACGTTAAAGTACTCGGGCCATTGGGGACTCCAAAAAAATGTATATTGGACTCACTATGACGCAGACCAAAGAACTTGTGCTATTTCCCGGACCAAGTTGAAGGTCAAAAGTCACAAGGCTGGCCCCGTGGTCCAAACCACCAAGTAGAGGGAAGCTGAACATCCTCCAAGAATCTCTACAATGTGGTAAGGGACAACAAGCCCAACATGTTGACTCGCGAGGACTGTTCTCGTGCAGGGGGAACCACTAAAAGCGAGCCCTCATGCGGGCCCGCTTTAAATTGGACCCGGGAATAGCGAAGGCCGCAAAAAGCACTGCAGCCCCTTGTTGACCCCTCTCTTCCGCCTTAATGCAGACCCCGGATTAATAAACCCCCCCCCCCTCCCCCCCCCCCCTCAAGGTCACAAGGTCAGGTCTGTCATTTTTTTGAGGGCCCCCCCCCAATAGTGGGAAGGGGAACCTTGTGGGCCTTGTGGGAAGGTCAGGTGAGGGAACCTTGTGGGAAGGTCAGGACCTTGTGGGAAGGTCAGGTGAGGGAACCTTGTGGGAAGGTCAGGACCTTGTGGGAAGGTCAGGTGGGGGAACCTTGTGGGAAGGTCAGGTGAGGGAACCTTGTGGGAAGGTCAGGTGAGGGAACCTTGTGGGAAGGTCAGGACCTTGTGGGAAGGTCAGGTGAGGGAACCTTGTTGGAAGGTCAGGACCTTGTGGGAAGGTCAAGTGGGGGAACCTTGTGGGAAGATGAGGGAACCTTGTGGGAAGGTCAGGTGAGGGAACCTTGTGGGAAGGTCAAGTGAGGGAACCTTGTGGGAGGGTCTTTTGAAGGCTTTTGGAGAACATGGTTGATTAATAGGGGGTGCCAAATCTATAAGAATTTTGATGAGTAATTAGGGAGCTTGAAGGTAGCTTGTGAAAAAGTCAGGTCAGGGAACCTTGTAGGAAGGTCAGGTCAGGGAACCTTGTGGGAACCTTGTGGGAAGGTCAGGTGAGGGAAACTTGTGGGAAGGTCAGCATGTAAAGCAAGCAGAGTTGTAGTTCTCTGGTTGATTAATAGGGGGTGCCAGAAGAATTTGGGGGGCTTGAAGGTCAGGTGAGTGGGAAGGTCATGACTTGTGAGGCCAGAGGGGTTTTGGAGGCTGTTGGAGAACATTGTTGATTAACAGGGGGTGCCAAATCTAAGAATTGTTGATGAATACGTAGGGAGCTTGAAGGTAGCTTGTGAAAAAGTCAGGTCAGGGAACCTTGTAGGAAGGTCAGACCAGGGCATCGACCATGGTAGATTAATAGGGTGGTGCTGGCTTTACTAATGGGGGGGTGCAAAAGCAGGGCATCAACCATGGTAGATTAATAGGGGGGCGCTGGCTTTACTAATGGGGGGGTGCTGCTGTTGCAAGTACAAAAGGAGCTGGTGTGCAAAAGCAGGGCATCAACCATGGTAGATTAATAGGGGGGTGCTGGCTTTACTAATGGGGGGGGCGCAAAAGCAGGGCATCGACCATGGTAGATTAATAGGGGGGTGCTGGCTTTACTAATGGGGGGGGGTGCTGCTGTTGCAACTAAAAAAAGGAGCTGGTGTGCAAAAGCAGGGCATCAAACATGGTAGATTAATAGGGAGGTGCTGGCTTTACTAATGGGGGGGTGCAAAAGCAGGGCATCGACCATGGTAGATTAATAGGGGGGTGCTGGCTTTACTACTGGGGGGGTGCTGCTGTTGCAAGTAAAAAAGGGAGCTGGTGTGCAAAAGCAGGGCATCAAACATGGTAGATTAATAGGGGGGTGCTGGCTTTACTAATGGGGGGGTGCAAAAGCAGGGCATCGACCATGGTAGATTAATAGGGGGGTGCTGGCTTTACTAATGGGGGGGGTGCTGCTGTTGCAAGTAAAAAAGGAGCTGGTGTGCAAAAGCAGGGCATCGACCATGGTAGATTAATAGGGGGGTGCTGGCTTTACTAATGGGGGGGGTGCTGCTGTTGCAAGTAAAAAAGGAGCTGGTGTGCAAAAGCAGGGCATCAAACATGGTAGATTAATAGGGGGGTGCTGGCTTTACTAATGGGGGGGTGCAAAAGCAGGGCATCGACCATGGTAGATTAATAGGGGGGTGCTGGCTTTACTAATGGGGGGGTGCTGCTGTTGCAAGTAAAAAAGGAGCTGGTGTGCAAAAGCAGGGCATCAAACATGGTAGATTAATAGGGGGGTGCTGGCTTTACTAATGGGGGGGGTGCAAAAGCAGGGCATCGACCATGGTAGATTAATAGGGGGGTGCTGGCTTTACTAATGGGGGGGTGCTGCTGTTGCAAGTACAAAAGGAGCTGGTGTGCAAAAGCAGGGCATCAACCATGGTAGATTAATAGGGGGGTGCTGGCTTTACTAATGTGGGGGGTGCAAAAGCAGGGCATCGACCATGGTAGATTAATAGGGGGGTGCTGGCTTTACTAATGGGGGGGGGTGCAAAAGCAGGGCATCGACCATGGTAGATTAATAGGGGGGTGCTGGCTTTACTAATGGGGGGGTGCTGCTGTTGCAAGTCAAAAAGGAGCTGGTGTGCAAAAGCAGGGCATCAAACATGGTAGATTAATAGGGGGGTGCTGGCTTTACTAATGGGGGGTGCAACAGCAGGGCATCGACCATGGTAGGTTAATAGGGGGGTGCTGGCTTTACTAATGGCGGGGTGCTGCTGTTGCAAGTACAAAAGGAGCTGGTGTGCAAAAGCAGGGCATCGACCATGGTAGATTAATAGGGGGGTGCTGGATTTACTAATGGGGGGGTGCTGCTGTTGCAAGTAAAAAGGGAGCTGGTGTGCAAAAGCAGGGCATCAAACATGGTAGATTAATAGGGGGGTGCTGGCTTTACTAATGGGGGGGTGCAAAAGCAGGGCATCAAACATGGTAGATTAACAGGGGTGTGCTGGCTTTACTAATGGGGGGGTGCTGCTGTTGCATGTGCAAAAGTTGGGCAAGTTAAAATTAGATTAAAAACGCATGATGTAGCGGGGGGTTTGGGGGAGGGGAGCTTTAATAGGGGGGGGTTTCGGGGGACATTTTTTGTCATTGTGGGGGTGCCAGGGCAGATTCCTGGGTTTCAATTAAAACGAGTATTGGCGAGGGATTTTCAAGGAAAACCAGGCGCTTTAATAGGGGGGGGTTATAAATCCTGGGTCAGCATTATGACCCGTTTTTTTGCGGGTCATTGGCAGACACTTCAGCTCACCCCACGTTGTTTCATTTCTCCTTTTGGCCGATCCCCCGGTTGTGGGATGATGTGGGTCTCTGGACGTCAGACGTCCAGATAGACGGATTCATTCGCCGCTAATTCGCGCATGCGGCAGAATCATCATTGTTGTTGGGAAGCATTTTGCATTTTTGCTTATTGTGGTTTAGTGGTTGAAATCCCCACTTAACTGTTAAACAGTGATTTTGCTCCCCTTCCAACGTCAACCAATGGCCGCGGAGGAGCGGTGGCACCAAGAGATGCAGAAGGCGGCATCCATCAAGCCGGTGCTGAAGCGCCTCGGGAGCCTCCAGTTCCTCTGCAACGAGCTGTGGGGGAGCTCAGAGCCTCAGAGACGAGGGCTGCGGGGTGGACACGAGCTCACTCGGCGAGGGTTTGGATGGGTGGCAAAGGGAAAAAGTGAGGATTGAACCAGGGAGGAGGATGAACTTGGGGAAACACTCTTTTCTTTTTGAGAAACACCCAAATACAAGCAGCCCGAAAAGATGCCTGGGCCATTGTGACCGAATCGCCCAACAGGAGGGCCCTTTTGGAAACAAATTGCTTTGCTATCAAACACACAATAGGTTCGAGCTTTTGCTCAGGGGGGAAGGGCAACCCAGTGGTTCAGAGGTTGTGTTTTCTTTTTTGACGTGTGTTCCCTGAACTACCAAACCTTGGACACTTCTCGTTTGAAGACCCGTTCATTCCCCAAACCCGGACTGGGTCCTTCCCTACCCATGGCACCAGCAAGTCGTGGCTGGCCAAACGTTGAGGGTGGTTCAGATACGGGTTGAGCCAGCGCCGCTGACCAAACTTCAAGGGTCGAACATGGGTTCCCGAGCTCCGAACCTGACTTCGTTTGGACCATTTCCCTTCAATGGGACCGGGTCCCGAAGGTCGGGTTCCATGTTTATTGGTGGGACGGTAGGCATTTTTCGGTGGTTCGCAGCCATCCCCTTAGCTTTTTAGCCTTTTAGTGTTTAATGGGGATTTCTATTTAATCCACTAAAGTTAAACTTTTTGTGGGGGATCTGAGGGCAGCCCAGATTTAAATGTTTTTCTTGGTTTGCTTCCTTTTAGGAGTGCTTCAGCCTCCCAGATCTCTAGTCGGGCATTTCCCGTCATGGAGAGGGCAAGCCGCTCTACAATCAACTACCCCTTTCTCCGAACGCCCCTTTTTAAGGCTCTGATGTCGGTCGACCCCCGGAAAACCCGGCTTTCAAGATGTACCCAAGAAAAAGCTGGGTAGTTGGAGCTTGCGATACCCCAAGCAGCCGGGGATCTCCATAAGGTTTGGGAATCTGATGGACAGGTCCGGAGAAGTATCCCATGGGCCAAGTGTGTCGCAGGCCAAAATGTCGGAGAAAAAACGTGCGAGCTTTGCATGGGCAGGCAAGGCCTTCGGCAGATTTTCAGAGATGCAGCCCCACAAATACCAGCTAGGAATCTCCGAATTTCGATGGCAAGGACTCCTTGATTTATGCCCTGGGTCTCCTCTTTTCCTTTGACACATATTTGATTAATAATTTGTGAGACCCCCCAGTGCTTCCATTTACCACTATGGGCAAACCAGGGGAAACCATCAAATATAAAACCAGGGGGAAGAAACCTGAGTACCTGTACATGGTTGTTGTTGGGCAACATTTTACCTTTTCGCTTATTGTGGTTTAGTGGCTGAAATCCCCACTGAACTGCTGAAACGTTTTTTTTTGCTCCCCTTCCAACGTCAACCAAGTTGTAGTGGCTCTGGCAGTTCTCGCTTTACTTCAGGTTAACTCTTCCCCTGGTTCAAACATCTCCCATAGGGGTCCTTTATAGGCTAGTTTGGTTGGAAATAGATGGGTTCCACTGGTTTAGATTGGGTTTGATTCCATTTGCCAGGGCCATCTACTTTTCCCAGCGGTCCCCTATCACATCTTGCCGTTTGGGCAAGTGAGTTTCCTTTTTGTGCGATACCTCGGGAAATATAGGGAGCCCTCGTCTACTCCACAAAATAACATGGAGCCCACAAGCAGCATCGGACTCTCCTACATGGACCCCCGTTTTCTGTCTTCCTTCCGTTTATTTAATTCAATAAAACACAAAACGAGTACCAATTGGCGGCAGGGCCCTTCAGGGGCCTTTGAGGCTTGTGAAACTTGGGGAATGGGGAACAATCCCAATCTTTAGGCCACACCTGAACAAAAACCATCCAGATGTGGGGGACAAATCCTAAACCCGAGGCTTTTGCCGGAGCTTTTGGCCTGGTGTGACCAATTCCGAGCCGCGCCTCGGTTGCATTCAGCTGTGAACTGGACGGATTGATCTCAGCGGTGATCAGGCCTGAAATGCTATATGGGGACTGTCTGTTTTTGGGGAACCCCAAATTTGTGATTTTCCTTTCGGTTTCCCTTCAAAACCAAATAATGGGTACCCTAAAAAGGACACACCCATATGGAGTGTCTTTTTTGAGGGTATTCTGGGCCCTATTTTTGGGGGTAAGGAGGAACAACAGGAAACCACCAATTGTTAGGGTCCCCTGTGTAACAATCCCAGAGTACGCCTTTTTCCGGGAAGGTTCTGGAGGGTTGAATCCTTGAAAGGGGTCTACCCAAACCATGGCCGAAGAATCAAGCTAGCCAGATGACTGACCCATACCTTCTGGCGAGTCATCAAAATGGGGTTTTGGGCTACCCAAGAACCACAAGTTCATTATGATAGGAGCGAACTATGTGTAATTTTGTCCGGCAGGGTGGACTGCAATTCCTGCACCAGCTGGCTGGATGAAACCCTACTGACTACCGAGCGCCCCGGGCGCATGTGTTTCATTCACTGCATATGTTCCAGTCGATTGCCAACTAAGCACCCCGAAAAAAATCATGAATCCGAGAGAAATGATAAGCAAATGGAGGAACAATGATGGGGCCAAACGACGCCAAAACGATGAATTAATGATAAATTAATCGAAACAAAATTTTGTTTTTCCTCTGTGTTTGGCTGCCCGAGGATCTCTTAATGCTACGCGTTCAACCATCTAGCCATGATGCAATGCGTGAAGAGCATCCTTTGCACACCCTTGCCACTCACCGACAAGCGATCCACTGCTACCAAGTCAGTGGACTTGGGATTTTGAATGCAATTCCGTTGCAAGGTGCTGGTCAAGTTGTCACTTCTTCTTTTTTTTGCACTGGAGCGACGGTCAATACTTGCCATCACTGTAAAGAGCGTGACATTGGGTACGTTCCACCAAACTGTCATTGAAAAACGAGCTAGTTCACCAGATTCACCCGCTCAAAGGGAGATCCAATGACTGACTGGCTACGAATTTTAAGAGTGGAACCACCTCACACATGGTTGGACATTTCTCAGCGAATTCTATCCACCAAAGGGCCGCATTGTCACCGTCACATCTGAGAAAAATAAGAAGAAAGAAAAACAACGGCCAACGAGCCAAATGCTTGAACCTCTCCCCCGGCTTCCAACCGAAGCCTTACTTGGATGTTCGATTCGCCAAGTTAGTAAGTGGTTGCCCTCTTGGGATTTGTCACCCCCGAATAACAAGGTCATAAAAGTGGGTCATCGAGTCATAGCCTATGTAGGCACCAACTTCTCACTTCTTGAGTTCCTGGACTTTGTGGTCACTTTTTGGGAAGACCCATTTTCGTGGAAAATCAACAACAACACAACACAAAATGAAGAAAACCACACAAAACACACAACATGCACACAAAACAAAGGAGAAACACGCAAACAAAACAGACACGCACACAACACCATGGAGAAAAATACACCAAACATACAGAACCATGGAAAAGAAGCACAAACCAACCCTGTACTTTCTTATGTGGCCAGTCTCTCCGGACGTCTCGCCCAAACGCCTCGTTTGAATCGTTCCGGTAGCTGAGGTGAAGCTGCGGCGCTGCCAGGAGCTGGCCTTCGAAAAGGCGGAGGCCTGGGGGCCGACGCGAGGGCGCGAGGGCGCGAGGGTGGGGTGCTGGCTGCCAGGGGGCTGTGGGGGTCAAGACCGTTTTGGGATCCCATTTTGGTGGGTGAATTCGCCACACATTTTAGGTGTCCTATTTTAGTTTTTTGCGGGTCATCAGACACTTCAGCTCAACCCAGCTTATTTCAAATTCTCCTTTTGGCCGATCGGTTGTGGGTCTCTCTGGAGGTCAGTCGTCCTGACGTCCAGACAGACGGATTCCTTCGCCGCTAATTCGCGCATGCGGCATAATCATGGTTGTTGTTGGGAAGCAGTTTCTTTCTCTCTCTTTTTTACATTTTGCTTATTGTGGTTGAGTGGTTGAAATCCCCAGTGAACTGCAAAATTGTTTTTTGGCTCCCCTTCCAACGTCAACCAAGACGATTTGTCCATAAAAAGGGGGAACTCACCAACCAGAATCCCTCAAGGAGCTTTTTTCCGTAAGGGGGAAGTCACCAACCCGGTTATCAGAATCCCTCAAGGATATAGAAAAGGGAAGTTTGTTTCCCCAGTTTGGGGCAATCACCGATTGTTCAGGGGATTTTTGCGGGTCTAGGTATGCCGATCCATTTTGGGGGGTCACCCCTGTTTGGGGGTTAGGGAAACCACTCATTTGGGTGGCTCGTCTTTTTGTAGGGGGTCCTCACCATTCGGGCAATGGGTGTGTCTGTTTTGTGAGGGAATCCCTAATAGTGGGTTTCCCCTGGACAAAAACACCTTAAAAACAGGTGCCCAGGAAAAAAGACACGCCCGGTGGTCTAAGGCTTGGTTCCCTGGCAGAAACACACACACACACACACACATTCGGCACCATGATGCACCATGCAAATTTATCAAAACTCTCCAAGAAAACACATGTGAAAGGGACCCTGGTGCTGAGAAACACTCCCATGGGTCATTCCCATAGGATGCTTGTTGCCAAGTTAAGTTGCAACCGCAACCGCTCGCTGACTCACTTTTGAGTTACCCACTTTGGACCACATGAATGTGGGGCATTTGTTTGTTTTTACTTGGCAACCAACATCCGAGTATTTTTCACTGAAGAGGACTCTGGTCATTTTGGATGGCCCCTAAATGTGGGCCAGCGGCCATGTTGACGGGTTATCAAACAAGCTCGGACCATTTTAAGAACAATATTTTGGGGGGACCCATTCTCAAAGCTACATTTGGGACCAGGGAAACGGGGAAAAACCATGTGCCAATATTCAATCAGGGGGAGGATGTCTTACATGGAGCCATAGCCACGAAAATTCAACCTGGTCTTTTCTTGGAACCCTGAAAAATAGGATCATTCCCAATCCTCTTCAAATAGAGGAGCAGCCAAGAAAAGCGCCAGCTGTTTCAATTTCCGAAACGACACCGAGCGGCTTTCTCTTTCCAATGGAAGCTGATATGATATGAGATGGACGCCAATAAAATGGGAGGGGGGGGTCCATATTGGAACTGCCTTCTCTTAGAGTGCTGTTTTTTTGAGTAATGAGAAATGGAATGGCCCCATATAAACAAACACGACTCCTATAAACAATCCATTTGCTATGGTTTCCTTGATTCGGGAATCCTCTCCTCCCGTTCATTCCAACAAAACCTGGACTCGTCGTCGTTCCCTACCCATGGCACCAGCATCCTCTCTAAGGGTGGAAGTACATACCCCTTGTTCATACCCCTTGGCTTCCGTGGTTTCCAACCACTTTATAAGGGGTATATAACCCCTTTCGGGGAGAAAATATGGTATGAACAGCGGCAGGCCTCTCAGGGGTTCATTTGTCCAAGAGGTACGTAAAAAGGGGTATGTACAAGTGGCGTTGTACCTAGTAAGTGGTTAAGCCTGGTTACAACCCACTTACCATGATCATAAGTCTCCTAAGTGGGTTATGACCAGGCATAACCACTTAATACATAGATGGCCCTGGTAGATGATTAAATCATCAGGTAGCCCAGGAATCGCCATCATGTTTTCTACCAAAACAACCAAAAAGGACACCCCCTTTTAATACACCCCTTGTAATACACCCCCTACCAATACACCCCCCTTTAAGTAATACACCCCCCTTTAGTAATACACCCCCTACCAATACACCCCCCTTTAAGTAATACACCCCCCTTTAAACCTAAGGAATCTGCCCCTTGTACCCATCGCTAGGCGCGGGAGCTCTTGGGCCAGCGCCGGCGCAACGGCCAGAAGCGCAACACCGCCCAGCAGGATGGAGCTCGAGCCGTTTGGGGGAGGGATGGTCAAAGGACCACATGGGTGCCCCGGTTTTTGTGAGGCGACCCGGATCGACTTGGGCTTGGTTCATTCGGAAAACCCTTATTGGTGTTGAGGTTCCCTTCTTTTTGTCAAAGGACTGCTATTGGCTTGGACCTTTAGAATTTAAAACTTTTTGGTTGAGATTTCAAGTTGGGTTTTCAACACGAAACCCCAAAAAAGTGAATTAAACTTTCAGCAGGGGGGTCAACACCAACCAAGTGGTCAACGGTTTTGGGATGGGTCGAGGTTTGGTTCTGTATCATATCATATCCCTAGTGTTCAACCCTTGAGAGAAAGGTTGACCCAATTTTGATGATGACAATCCTTAGGTAAACAATGGTGGTTGTATGAGCTCCCCATTGTTTCAACTGTGCTTTGAATCTCAAGGATATCTTTGCCTTTGACTCGAACAATGGCGGACACTTTTTCTCTTCTTCCAAAAGGGAGGGGAACAGAGGACCAGCATGACCATGTTCGGCGCAAACTGTTGCTTCCATTTGCCTGATTTGGGAGGGCGACCGCTTTGGGGGGGGGGGAACCAGAGACGGCAGACGTAGGACCAGCAGCTGATGGAGAAGGCGGCCTTGAGGGCCAAGAAGCTCGGCGCCCTGGCCGCCAAGGCACTCGCCGGAAACGGCGCTTCGGCGCGTCTCGGAGTGGGTAGACCATTTTAGTACCGAGTTTTGATGGCGACTCTGGTGAAGTTGCCCTCAAAACCTGAACCGAAGCCCCCCAAACCCCCAATCTACTACTAGGTCCCCAGCTAGGTGCCCTTTTACCGTTTCTTTTTTGGGGAGGGTTCCCCTACTTTCATAGAGTACTACAGAAATAAAGGGTAGCCTTATTCTAATCTCTCTACTGGAGAAAGTCTGAACCCAAACCCCCAAACTACTAGTTTCCAGAAAAGCGGGTTGCCCCAAAGTGATGGGCGAGTTCTGCCTGTTTTTATGGGTAGTTTTAATTGGGTCCAGGGAGACACCCAAGCAGAGATTTCAAGAAAAGGAACTGGGTGGTTACTATTCGAATCCACACGAGACATCAGTAGACTTGCGGATTCGTGGTGGAAAAAATAGCTGCGAGTGGGCTCGGAGGTAAGGTGGTTTCAACTCGTAAAAGTCATAGCCATTTGTGTTTAGACAAGATTATGTTTAATCATTTGTTTGAAACCACGGTCTAAACAAGGGTCCGGGTCTTCCAACCCCGCTGCTTCGCTATTTGGGAGGCATCCAGTGGGGCATTCCCTTTGTTTTGTTATGTCTTCTTGTGGTTTGTTTGTTTTGCTTGAACGACTTTCTGTTGGAGGGGGATTATATAAGGGGCTAGATCAGTCCGCGCGCGCACACACATTGGTTGCTGCTACTAATTATTTTGGTCATGACTTACTTTGTTGTTTGCCTACCCCACAACCCGATTCTATTTGTTGCCTTTAACAACCAAGTACCCGAGCAAGTGCCTTTTGGCATGGGTTTCCCTTAACGAACCCGAATATGGCGGAGTGTGACTTGCCATTGTTGGCTTTAACCGGACATGGGCATGATCAGAATATACATATGTTTCAGTGGCAGTTGAACAAATCGTTATAATGGTGCCCGTTTAAACATTTGTTTTGTATAAATTAAATGAACTTACTTTTTTTGTTTAGAAACACACATCCAAGGTCACACACGTGGGTCATTTGATTTGGGGGCTGCTCGGTTGTGGGGCATTCTCTGTGTGATTCCAGTCAAGCCACGAATTTGTTGACCCCATATTAATCAACCCCAGTTTATCAATAGGGGGGTGGGGAACCCTCCAAAAGTGGTCTGATTCCCCACTAAAACTGGAGACACCACCCTATGAATAAACTGGGGTTTATTAATCCGGGGTTGCCATTAGAGGTAGCCGGAGGACACCATCCATGACAAAACTTGGCAAGGAACCCTGATGTTTGGCTATAGTGGTTTGCCTGAAAGCACTGGGTTTGGCTGTTTGTTGATGTCTTTGGATGGCTTGAGTCCAGATTGCACTTACCAGGCTCTAATTTTCTACCATGCCATACTGTGTTGCCCCTTTTGAATTGAGGGTATGAACACCAGAACGCCTTGTTGGGGCTTGGGTTTCACTTCGGCCCGAGAACCACCGTTGGATTTCGGGCAGGCCGTAGACGAAACCATCGATGTGGCCAAGGAGGTGTGCAAGTGCGGGTACCAGGCGAGCGGAAGATCCACTTCAAAGTAGTCATGGGAATGGCTTCGGCTGGCTTTGCCGATGTCATCAGGGCACCATGAAACTCAAGGATTCTGCAAATGGGTGTGTCTTCTTTGAGGCCACACCTTCTACACCTTCTTGACTGGCTTTAAAAGGAAACCAAGAGGACAAGCAACCAGCTTAAGGTTTCCTACTTTAAGACACGCCCAAATATAACTTTTGGGAGATGTGGGACATGTTTGTTGGTTTTTCCAGCCTGATAGTACTTTGATCGCGTTCTGACCCCTCAAAAACCATAGCGACTTGCACCCGGCAGTAAGCCCAGCACTCACATGAGATCACTGTGCTACTTAGATGGCGTGGGACTTAGCTAGGTGGCAAAAACACTTAACCCCTCACATAACCGTACTGTTCAATTCTTGTAAGTAGGGCTGCTAACAATTTGCTTGCCTAATACCCCGGATCATCTAAGCGTGGCCGTGTGCCAAGCTCTCTTTTTTCCACGGTGCCCTTTCTTCCTGTCAGCTTTTGTGGGGAACTTTGCTGTAACTCACTCCCTGAGTTCCAGTAGCTTAAGATTTGTATATTTTCCCCCCTCTGTTGGTTTTCAAGGGAATCGATTTCACTATTGGACATATATATATATATATGTATTTGTTTTTAATTTTTTTCCAGGGGAGCTCTACGGCAAATGGCGGCTGAGTCGCTGGACTGGAAGCTATTTGGGCCGCGCTCATGGTTGATCCTTCCACTGGTTCCGGCTCATCCCGGCCTCGGTTTCCGCCAACCCTGGCCGTGGCCAGACGGCGCTCGAAGCCTCCATCCACCAGTTTTGACAGTCCAATCGGATTTCTGTGACCCGAGTGGTGCCACCTGTCAAGGGAGCCTGGCAAAAGGGTGTCGACCCCTTGAGCGATTCCCCTTGCTGTTCTTCAAACGAGGAACACCCACTTGGGTGTTGGGCCAAGTGGTTAGCAACGGCGAAAACTTACTTTTTGAGTTTGCCCAGGTTATAGAGTAGTTATAGCTGTGGTTTTCTACCAAAAGCATGGCCGAACACCCGGATTTTCAGTACCAGCACCTTGGAATTGCGACAGGAGGTGTGGCACGAAAGCGCGGATGCCCTGCTGTCTGTGGGCGAGTTCCCGGTGTTCGAGCCGCCAAAAGTCATGGCCGCCAAAGTGACCTGCAAAGAGCAGGCGGGCTGGGAGATTCTCTCCACTGGGTTCGTTGGCAAGTAAGTCCTTCGTAACCTAGGGTTATAACTCACCAAGAATGTCCCCTGACGTGGGGTTAACCTGGTTATTAGTGGGTTATAGCCCAAGTGGCTAAGGACTTACTGGCTTGGCCGAACATCCAGGAAGGCAGGGGGGGCGCTTGCTTTTTCCTTTTTTCCCGAGCAAGCTATGGGGCCTTCACCACAGAAGATGGCCTTCTTTCGGGCCACTGGAGTTGTCTCAAGACATGTGTCACTGGAGTTGGTTCCCTTTTCGAGCTGTTTTAAAGGGAAGAGGAAGAACGCCGACAAATTCAGACGTTGGGGGTTCCTTGATTTTTGCAAGCCGCAGACCAAAAGGACGCTGGCTGGTTGGGTGTGCCTTAAAATCGGGTGCAAGGAACAGTTGGTTAGATTGCTTTTGGTTTTACTTTAAACCAACCCCAAAAAGGGGCGCCCTCAAAGGAAGACAGTGGAGAACATGGGAACCCCTGTTAAATCCATCCGCTCCTTTCGGTTTTTGCAACCAAAATAATTTTGCAACCGAAAGGATGTCACGAAGGTTCCATACTTTGGGGGCTCTTGAAGATTTTCTCAAACGTGAATGGTGGACATTGTTCTCCCCACCTAAAGGATGTCCACCGAAGAGTTCCGAATTAACATTCACGGCCATATGTTTGATATACATGCAAGCATGTGCACTTGTGTATGTATAGCCGGAGTTGCTAAAGTGTACTTCCTTTATTACACTTGTACTGAAAAGTTGCGACTTTTGAGCCGGAGCTGCCAAAGTGTGCTTCCTTTACTACGCACTTGTACTGCAAAGTTGCGACTTTCGAGCCGGAGCTGCCAAAGTGTACTTCCTTTGCTACACTTGTACTGAAAAGTTGCGACTTTCGAGCCGGAGCTGCCAAAGTGTACTTCCTTTGCTACACTTGTACTGAAAAGTTGCGACTTTCGAGCCGGAGCTGCCAAAGTGTTGCGACTTTCGAGCCGGAGCTGCCAAAGCGTACTTCCTTAAGCTGGCCAAGCGGAAAGCCGTGAAGCGCACAAAACCCTGTAAAACGATAGGGTTACAAAAAACGATAACCTCTACCCGATGTCTTTTTGCTCTACAAGAGGTTTCGAAAGTTGCTCATATACATATATATATATATATATATATGTGTATATATGCCTATACGCCCATACGTTCAACACAACGTGGTCTGACTCCAGGTGCCGATGCCACAGACATCCTTCAGCTTCACTGCCACAGAGTGCCCAGCGCTGATTTCTTTGGCGCGCAGACAGGAGACGACGACAAGCCCGGTCTGGGCTGCAAGACCATAGGTGTCCTTTTTAGGTTTGGTCAAAAGTAGAAGGCACTGGCTTAGATGGGTTTCATTCCATTTACCACGGCCATCTTTCTTTTTAAAAGGACCTATGTGCAAGACCTGCCAGCGGTTGGGCATGAATCCTCACCTAAACAATGTCCACCACTCCCCCCAGATTGAAAGTCCAAACGCCACGCCAGGACGCGTGTTGAATCAAGCTTGCCATGATGCGTGTTTTTGTAAGGGGACCCCCAAGAATGGTTGGCTTCCTGTTTGTTTAAACAACCCAAAAAAGGCTACCAGCCATATTTTGTCAATCAACCCGTGTTCCCGTTTAAACAGGGGTCCAATCAACAGGTTGCGATCGCTTGCATGCAGTGTAGCAAACCAAAGAAACCCATTAATGTCACCCAGTCAACTTGTCACACCCTTTCAAAGGTAAAGAACAAGAAGGTTGTTTAAACACGCAAATGTACAAGGTCCACGCGAACCGATCGGCAGTTGGAATGGATGAAGCCCTGTGACACTGATTAGCCACCAATCCCAGCAGGTGCCAATCGGCGAATCGGATTTCGCCCAGCCACTCCACTCGGCTTTGCAGTCGCCTAATTATCACGTCTTTTCATTGGCTTATTTGGTTTGGTTTGTGTTCTGTTGTTTTTTTGTTTTTGTTTCTTTCCATAAACATCATCCCTGTTGGTGTTTAAGGGGCTCTATCACTGCTGGATGTGCTTTTCTTTCAGGGGACTTAAGCAAATGGAGGATAGAGTAATGGGCATTGGGTAGGATGTGGTATGATGGCACACCCTGGCTTGAAAACGAGTTCCAACAACCCGAGCTTAGGGGATGCAGTTTGGCACGTGGACCAAAGCTGAATTGCCCTTCCTGAAGACACCATTTGGAGCCGAATCGGTTTGGAGGTGATTTTCACGTGCCCAACCAATCCAAACCACACAAGGTTGACCTGACACCAAGAATCTAGGGGTTGATTGCCCATTCTTTTCAACCATCGGGTCTTTTCAAACACCAGATCTGTTTTCAACCTGTTTTGTTCCTGCAAAGATTCGGACTTCTAGAAAGAATCCTCTAGAAGTAGGAATCAAAGAAACGCAGTGGGATTCCTGGCCGTGGGGGGAGCCAAAGAGCCAATGTTTGAAAAATCTGATGGGAGCGATGCCTATGCCCCACCAAACGCAGATCGCCAGATTCTCCTTGTTTCTTTTGAGGGGAAACAAAGGGACCCTTCAGAAGTCTAGAAGCCCTCAAATATGAGGGGTACCTCCAACATCATCCATGTTTTTGGGGGGTATGATGTCAACCCTGACTGGAAAAGCAAGCATTGGTCGATTGGCTGCAAGACGCCGGCCGTTTTACGACACAAACACGTACTTTGCTGTTTCCCAACCATCCCCTTGGTTTTTTTTGTTTTTTGGGAGCTTCCATTTCACCCACTCAGTTTCGGCGATTTTTAGATTAGACGTGTGAGTCATTTCGGGGGTGCCCTGGCGGCCAGGAGAAAGGAGCAGTTCTCTCGGCAGGTCGCTTGACCGTGGCTTGGAACGGTTTCGGTTTTTTGTTGTTGTTTTTCCTCGGCCGGCCCATGTGACGTGGTCAAAGGTGGGGGCGATTTTTTTCTCAGTCGAAGAAAGGCGTAGGCGCAGGTTGTGGGTTTTTGTTCAAAGGAAGCAGAGGTGTTGATGCCATGTTTTGAGACAAGCCGGCTAAGCCGGTTCAGACTCCGGGATTTTGTTATTTGTTGTTTAGAGGTGGCGGAAGCCAAGTAAGAGTTTCAACCGTTTTGCCACCTTGGGACGTGAACCAGGTGAATACTGATGACATGAATACTGATGACATGGAGTGCTAAGAGGCCAGTGTTCCCTTGGTTTAAATGAGGCTTTGGGCCCCATCAGTTGCCGACACATCTATCGGACAACACATAAAACTTGCAGAGTTTCCTTTGGTGGAGAAACCGCACATGGGTTTTCCCTAAGACTCTCACGCAACATTAGTCCTTGTACAGTACCTTCCCAGAGACCCTGCTTTAACACCCGGCATGCCCGCTACTCCAAGTTGTCTTGTTTTTTGTTGGCTAGTCAAGCAAGGACTAGACACGGAGAGTTTACCATGGACCACTCGGTCTCTGAAAAAAATTGCCTCGCCGCTAGCATAGCACCTGGAGGGCAGCTGGAAGATTCATGTGGCGGTGTCTCTCATGAGGTACCATGTTGATGGGAGTGCGGCTACCTTCAAAAAGGGAAAACGGGTATTCGAAGTGGGTGGTTGCTTGAGCAAGCGGTTGCCAACCTAGGTTCCAACCCACTTCCTGAGGTTCCCGTGAAAGTGGGGTCAACCTTGTTGGGGGGCGAAGAAAGCCAAGTGCTTGCGGCGAACCACTGACTAACTTAGCGAATCGGACATCCAAGCAGGGTGTTGTTCTTTGAGATGCCTGGACGTGAAGGGCCCCATGATTTGAACTGCATGACTGAGGTAGCTTCCTGAGGCCTCGAGATGTCGCGCTCAAATCAGGGCTCCATGGTTTCCCGGGTGGTTTTCAGCATAAACTACAGGTTTGCTGAGCAGTTCAATGCAACTGGCAGTTTTGCTTTCTTTGCACCCGCAACAACAAGTCTAGCATGGCTTGTGGAAGGGGCATTGAAACTACAACGAAACAGGGGAAGCTTCCATGTCCATTCTCCCCAGGGATCCAAACCTTTTCAGGAATTCAAGAGCACCTTGGTTGGAGCGATTTTTTCAGGAGTAAAACACCCTGGTTGGACACATCTGGTTTTTGGAAAGGACGATGGTTTAAAAGAATGCCGAGTCAAGCACCTCAACAGCGTTGGTGGTACACCAGAGGGTCCCACCAAAACAACACGCAGTTGGCCATGGGTTACAATTCCGTACTCTCAGTGAACATCCCAGTCCCCACTAAAATCGGTTCTAAAATGGGTGGTGCACCTACCCCAAAATGGGATCCCATTGGTGTTGACCCACAGCCATTTGGTGTCCCTTGGGTTTCCGTTTCAACCCCCAAAAAGGGAGGAGGAGGTTGAGATTTCCGGAGCCCTCAGCCTGCACACAATTTTGTGAGGTGCCGGCATCGGATTTTTCAGGGAGGTCGAAGTCACGTGAAAAGCGAGAACACCAAACATATCAACGGGTTGGGTTTTGGGGGTATGAGGAAGCCCAGCCATCTCCTTAGGTTTTTAGCCTTTTGGTGTGTAGCGGGAATTTCCATTCAACCCACTAAAAGTTAAACTGTTAGCGGGGGATCTGAGGACAGCCCAGATATCAACTGGCTTCCTCGCCCCCCAAATGGGGGTCGAGGAAGCCAGCCGGCGTTAAGAACCACTTATCCAAACCACAAATCAATAGGCTGGTTTTGGTTGAGGAAACCGGCAGGCGCTAAGAACCACTTATCCAAAGGAGCTTTAAATGGAGGTGTCCAATCACCAGCCGGTCAACATCACGGAGCTCCCGGGCATCCAATTCTTATTTCACCCGGAGCCACTCTATCCCAGGCAAGCCCCTCTTTCTAACCCCTTGCCATGTTTTTTTTGTTGTTTTAAAGGGAATCACAAGGTCAAGTTTGGACTTATTTTTTAAACTAGATTCCGGGCCTGAACCCACGTGGCCAACCTCTCACTAACTTGGCCACGGACATAGCATCAACTAGTATCAAGTCCCTCGGATGGCAGCTTGCAACATGGAATTCAGGTGGATTTCAGCTTCCTGGAGTCTCCATGCCCCTTGAAACATAGAGCCAGTACTCAAAAGAAAGGGGTCACCCCCATTTTATAGGGCCATGGTGAGTCCAGCTGCCTTGGAGTAGTCAAAGAAATGGAAACTTCACTGTTCCGGGCATGTTGTTTGGTTGTTTGGCACATGACTCATGAACTTCAGCTATCCCACTTGGGGATACTGTTCATGTTCTTTGATTTCCTGTGAAAGCCTCCAACCAACCAACCAACCAACCAACCAACCAACCAACCAACCAACCAGCCAACCAGCCAACCAGCCAACCAGCCAACCAGCCAACCAGCCAACCAGCCAACCAGCCAACCAGCCAACCAGCCAGCCAGCCAGCCAGCCAGCCAACCAGCCAACCAGCCAACCAGCCAACCAGCCAACCAGCCAACCAGCCAACCGACCAATAAGCAACCAACCAATAAGCAACCAAGCAAGCAGCCAAGCAACCAAAAAGCAACCAACCAACTAAGCAGCCAAGCAGCCAACCAACCCATTAGCAAACACAAGCAATTGTTTGAGGCAAACCTCCGCTTGGGACTGGGATGTCTACGAGCTGAGAGCTTTTTGTTGGTTTTCGCAACCTGGGTTCCGTTCGGATATTAGTCGCTGTTTGGGTTTGCCATTTGATAGTAAATACAAAGTTTGCACTTTGTTTGGCGAGACTTGATTGGAAGTGAGTTGGAGAACCGGCACTAGTCACGAAGTGAGGGTCATGGGTTCCTGACCAACCCAGGGATCCCCCGAATCGGAAAGTTCACTCACGATCCTTGAGGGTTCTCAGTTGTTGAACTCACCTGACTTGTGCAAGACCAAACATTTGAATGCTTGAGTCGGTGTCCATCTTTTAAGTGGTGCCCCGAAGCATGTGGGGCCCTCAGAAAGGGCTTTCTAGAGGTCCAACACTTCCAATGAAGGTCCTGGCCCCTTCAATGGATGGTCTAATGATGCTTATTTCGGCCAACACAAATAAAACCTACAGCTGGCATTTTGACCAGATGCCGGCGCCTAAGTCGAAGTAGCGCGCCTTAGAGCTTTGGCTCTAGCCGAATCTTCGATCCGCCGAAGGCGGCCCGAAGTTCGGTCGGTTCTCCCGGTGCTTCTTAAAGAAGATTCCGGAAGCTCTGAGCTGGCCGACTTGCGCACCTTGAGCCCTACTAGTGGGACCTTCAATCTTTTAGCGTTTTGGGCAAACCATTGTCCACGCAGTACTATTGCATGAGAACACCCTGTGCTTCCTCGACTATTCTTTAAATAGCCTCGACCATTAGAAAAACGAAAGGCTATAAAAGTAATGTCCCTCGACCATTGAAAGTAGGTCTAGACAAACTTGGCCAACTCGAGACGGCTGGCTCCTGACATCCCCGCGCGCTTCTGCGCAGTGAGAGGTTGAAGAACTTGATTGCTGCCTTTTCTGAAATCAGCTAAGTATGTTTTACTGTCGCTTCATCCCGTTGTAATCACCCGTCACCATGCTGTGCCAATTTGGCTTGTCCCTCACATGCCCGTGCGTGCTTTTCCACTTCTTGTCCACAGCTCCACAGAGTCTGATCGCGTGTTGTGCGTTGATTGTTTAATCGATTTCGAAAGAAAATGAGGCGTGGACAAACCATGGACAAACCGTGGCAAGTACGTTTCTTAGCGTGGAAAGTACATTTAAAAGCGTGGACAACCATACCCCCAGAAGCCCACAACGCATGCCTGATCGGCAGCGATGCCCCGAAGCCACTAAGTTTGCAGCATTTTCAAAAAAGCCGGACTTCAGTACCAACATGCGAACAATCTATGCACGCCTCTACAGTAGGCGGGACATCTGGCGATTTTAACAAGTGATGCGATCATACATTTGGCAAGCCGGGGAATGAGTGGCTTGGGTGCAGTCATTTGCAGCTGGGAGGATGAGGCGGCGTGACTTTCAGTGACCTGACCCTAAACAATTCTTAAGCAACAAAAAACATGATTTTTGGGATATTCAGGGCCAGGCGCAAAAAACGGTCTTTCGGCAAAAAACAGTCTAGCGACCTCGACCATTCTTTTAATGGCCTTTGGAAGCCTAGGAAACAGTTGTACACATCCCAGGTTGCGGGTGGAACGTGGATCGACGGTCGACTTAGACGGAACATTGCCCGAAGCGCATCGGCAGGGACCCTCCATGGCGGTCTTGAGCTCCATTAGAAGGTTTGGGACAGAATTTGAGGGCGCCGGTTGAGGTACCAAAATGCGGGTAGGAACACGGAAGGCTCCTCGAAATGGTTTGGGACTTTGGAAAGTGCTCGGGTGTGACACTCCTTATGGACAAATGGCCCAGGCTTGATGTTCATGCCTCCAGCGATTCCAATGTTGATTTAGAGCCATCACAGGGGATAGGGGGTATGGGGTATTTGGTAGTTATTTAAGAACCATGTGAGCAAAACCTCAATGCCTTGCCAGCTCAGAGCCGCGCATTTTTTTCCAATCCGCCAACTCGCAGACAGGTTGCAGTGCTGGTGGAATGAAGGGAACAAGGGGAAGTAGTGATTATCCTCACTTCCCAAGTCTCTGGATTTCAATCTTTCTAGGAAGATTGCTTTAGTGCTATGCAAACATGTTGGACTTTGGGCAAACCCACTCAGGAAGTGAGCTTTGCATCGCCCGTTGTGAGAATGTACGGGGAAGCCACAAGGAAACCGAACCTTTAAAGGGCTCTGGTTGTTATCCAGTTTCCCTCTAGAAATGTACACGGGATAGTAACCAGGCTTGAACAACTCAACCAGCTTGCCCAGATGTGTTTCTCAGTGTTTTATCTTTGTAGACGTGTTTTCTATCCGACAGTCATGGGGTGCTGGGACCCCCGCGATGCCTGACTAAGGCTTCAGTGGATGTCTCAGCATCAGGGACCGCTTCCTTGAATGGTCGGCATGGTGGTTTTCATGTTTGAGCAACGGCCTATTCGACAAAATACAATCTTCGGGTGGGCCAGTCTTGCAGACTGGCGGCTATCGGTTTTAGGCCCCTATCGATTTCTGGTGGTTACTTACGTGGATCCCGAAGGGCCTCTTGGATTTGACATTGCCAATTGTGTTTTGCTCTTGGATTTGGAGGGTTTTGCAAAGGCTCACTTGCCCATCTTGCTGATCGACGGGCTCTGCGTATTCAGGTTGTTCCTCTGGGGTAATCCGAGGTTGCCCTTTTGGGGGGTTGGCTGAGAGGAAATCCAAGCAGAAATCAACATGTTTTGCAGGAAACAAGCAAGAGACAAACCTATTTCGGGTCAAAACAACAATTTGTCAGGATTTGTTTTGGAGACACGCCCATTTTGGTTCATTTGGGTCAGGGTTCCACAGGGTTCACCCTTGATTTGTCCAGCCCTTCGGCAGATTCGGACTGATCCCGTAGGACTGTTACTTGGGTAAGAGGAAGAGGAATGATAGGAAGTTGGAGCTGGTTCCGGGCCAGATAGGCCTTGACACTTGGCCTGCCATTCAGCAAAAAGTGCAGTGGTCCGAGCCGGGCTTTCCTAAATCGCTAATTAGAACCTTGGTCAGTTTACAAAATTATTAGGGGTGCTGCCCCGAAAAGGAAATTCTTGAAATGGTTGGTGTGTCGGATCAGTTGTCAGGGTCCAGAGTTTTGGTGAGTCTAGTTTGTTGAGGGACTGGCTTGCGACTTGGAGAGTCTAATTTGCTCAATGGGGAAGAAAAGAGAGGATTGGGTGTAATCCTATGAGTGTCAGGGACTTTGTGTCGTGGGATTCAGTCCTCCCGACAGCCATGTCCCGCTTTTCCTCAACAAGAACTTGCCAAGGCCAACCATTCTGCAATGGGCCAC